TTTACCTCTTTGCCTTTTGGCTGCGTGCAAGTGGGTCCTTGTGACACACGGGGATGGGGGCAGCCAGCGCTCAACCTGTCATCCACGTGGCTGGCCTTGTACGTAAGAGGTTATGAACAGGTGGAGCTTTCCTTACCTCTTCCCCTTCCCCTTTTTTCCTTTTCCTTTTTTCTTTCCCCTTTTTTTTTTCGCTTCTGCGCTCTGATTCACAATGTGACAATATATGTGTATATGTATATATCGTCAAATAGAACTGCCCGGTAATGTATGTATGTATATGCGATGAGTAAATCCTAACGAAGTTAACCTGCAACACTTGCATTGAGGAAATCAGAAACATCATTGACAAAAACGGCTTGTTCTCATACGAACTCTCTCATCTCTATTTACTGTATGTTGTCTTATGTAATATATATATATTCAGGAAATCCATCATCGGGTTGTCATCACAGATTGGGCAGCCGCCTTTACTTCGTCGGCGTCTTCCCGGGTGCGCCCAGCGCTTACGCCGGAGACGTCTGCTGCCTGTGCAGGCGGCCACGTGTCAGCTGGTCAGGGTGCCAGAGCGCACATTCCGTACAGAAATGTGGAATCTACGGCTGAGATCAACGGGAGGGTTTCATTGCCGGTGCAGTGTGATCAGGAATATGCAATCTACTACGGCTCATCGAGGCCAAGGAGGCCATCCTGTTCCTTCATCTTCACCTCCACCACCACCTCCTCCTCCTCCTCCTCCTCCTCGCTCAGAGGTTTGGGTATCAGCGCTAGTGTGGAAGGCCCCTACCGGTCAGCGAGTGACGTGGCACTTTCCACGTCAGCCAGTGACGTGGCAGTTTGTACCTCACTGCCGCTTGATGTGATCCAGAACGGGCAGAGCCTGTCAGCTCGCTCGTCGATCTGGAACCCCCCTTTGGCCCCCAATTGCAATGGTCCTTCTCGTCAGATAGAGGCCGGGAACCCCCCTTTGGCCCCCGATTGCAGTGGTCCTTCTCGTCAGATAGAGGCCGGTGCTTGGAGCCGGTCCAGGATGGCAGCCGCGTTGGAAGAGGGCCTGGGATGTCACAAAATGCACGCCAGCGTGGCTGAGCGGCTGGCCGTCAGGGTGGGGGAAAGGAACAGTCTGACTGAGACGCAGGGAAGGTGGGGCAGCGGCATTGGATGGTCTAGGGAACCGCAAGGTGCAGGAGCAAGCTCTGCTATAGTAGTCGTTGTAGGAGGAGGAGGATGGAGAGGGGGAGGAGGGCGGAGAGGGGCAGGAGGAGGAGGAGGAGGAGGAGGAGGAGGAGGAGGGATTGTTGAGAGGACCGGGGGCGGGGGATGGCGACGACAATTATCGACTTCTTCCAGCGATGACATGAGGCTGTTGCAGAGAGCAAAGGCAGCGAGGCAGAGGAGGGCTCAGCGAGAAGCCAAGGACTCTTTGTCGAGAGTGAGTGCGAATAGAGGAGATGATGGGGCAATGATTGGTAACGCAGCGGCTGGCCACCAAGGAGACGCAGGGGCAGGGACAGTAATACAGCCGCCGCCTATCACACAGCCACTGATTGGGCCATTGATGCCCCGGAATCCTCAGGAGGTAAGTGCATTGTAGGTCTGTAAATATCTCTACTAGCCCCCCGATCCCAAATCCCAGTCCCAAGTCCTAGTCCCAGTCCGAAGTCCCATTCACAGTTCCAAGTCCCAGAGGCACTATCTCGAATGCATTGGTGTGGGACTTTGGGTCAACAATCGTGCTCCACCTAAAGCTTCTAACCCTGCTAAATCTCCTAACCCCTCTTAAAGCTCGTAACCCCTCTAAAAGCTCCTAAACCCTCTAAAGCTGCTAAACCCTGTAAAGCTGCTAAACCCTCTCTACAGCTGCTAAACCCTCTCTACAGCTGCTAAACCCTCTGCAGCCCTTACCCCTCCCCCCTCCCCCCTCCCCCCTCCCCTCCCCACACCCGGGGCCTCAGCCTTGTTGTTCTCTCGTTAGAGTCCTATAAGTGCAGGCATGCGATGTGGTCCCGAGTCTCAAGCCCCAGTCACAGTACCACTTCCAGTCACGGTACCAAGTCCCAGGGCAGGAGTTCTCACAGCTCCAAGATCCCTATCCCAGGTTGTCACTGCGCTATCCTCGTCCAGACCCTGCCTGTGTCATTCTCAGTGCGCATCTCACTGCCACTGTCGTTTCGAGCTCTCTTCGGTCTGTCCCGATCTCCATGTCACTGTCCATCGAGTCGCAGTTTGAGCATTCCCAGTCCCAGTCGCAGCAGACTGTTTCCAAGTCTGCTGAGTTCAATCCCGTGTGAGTCCCAACCAGTCTGGGTTACAGTCTGTTTTCCAATTGGCGTTGCACAGTCTGAGTCCCAGTGCTGCCTAGTCCCAGCTGAGGCCCACTCTCAATCCCAACCCCAGTCTGCATCCGCACTTGAGTCCCAGTGCAAGTCCACCTCGAGTGGGACTCAGCTGGGACTTTCACTGGGACCAGTCCACCTTGATTGGGAATCAGCTGGGACTTGCATTGGGGCTTGTGCTGGGAATCAGACAATGCAAGACAGACTGGGAAGCACACTGCAAGTCCCGGCTGAGTCCCACTCTGCATCCCACTCTGCATCTAATGCTCTTGAGTCCCAGTTCGAGTCCCAGTATGGCTCTCAGTTTCTTGGTCCCACCCATTCCTAGTCCCAGAGTGGAGTCTGAGTCCCTACTCTGACTTTCCACTATATTTCGGTCGTGTCTGACGCTCTGAGTCCCCATCTCATACCTACGGGCTCTTACTCTCCTCTCCATCCCGGTTCTCCATCCTGATCCCTATCCTGGTCCTTTCATCGTGTGCCCCTATCCCAATTTCAGCGTCGATTGTGGCCCGGCATTTGTTCTCTCTCTCTCTCTCTCTCTCTCTCTCTCACACACACACACACACACACACACACACACACACACACACACACACACACACACACACACACNCACACACACACACACACACACACACACACACACACACACACACACACACACACACACACACACACACACACACACACACAACTTCCAATGCTTTTTTGGTTTCTCTGGCATTCAGCAATGTGATGTTAAGTCTGTGACGGCTCGAAACCCCGCTTCCGCCTCCCCCCCCCCCCCCCCAAGCTGTGATGTAAGGGTAATGCTGCATTACATAGCCCTCTGCACCTCGATTGATTGTTGATGCAGATGGGTGGTGGCGATGACTTCTCGTGGTATGGCATCCTTGTTGGACTGCGGGAGCTCCAAAACAGATTTGACACGGCTCAGAAAGAAGGTCCACAGCCCAAACAAGCATGGGTGCAGCATCATCTTTGACAGGGCCACTGTTCTCATCGACTATTGGAGCAACTGTTCTTATTCGGTCGTTGATATTCTTACCTAGCAGGGGATAAGAACAGTGGAGATGGAGGTCAATCCACACGGATACAGGTTGTGAATGACCACTCGACGGTTTTCTTATGAGCTGCTGCAGCCACTGGCCCGAAATAGTGCACTGCGTATACCTGCAAGGAATTGGAATTGAAAGGATGCGCTCCTTTCATACGCTACACGCAAACCCTCGCTATCTTGTCACTGTCACTGTTGATTGGTTGGTTGGTTGGGTGGGTGGGTGGCTGGTTGGGAGGTTGGTTGGTTGGTTGGACAGGTGGGTGGGTGAATGGTTGGGTCCACCACTGTGGTCATCTACCATTCGTCCATTCTTTCGGTTCATTTCTCTGTCTGTATGTCCATCTAGATGGCAGCTGGCATGTGGCGAATTCAAGACACACCCCCCACTTTGGTGCTACCTACTGGGTTGATGGATTGACTGATTGATTGGTTGATTGTCTCCACAATGAGTTATGTCTCCCACCTCTTTTATCTGTCTGTCTGTCTGTCTGTCTGTCTGTCTGTCTGTCTGTCTGTCTGTATGTGCATCTGTTTGTTCCTCCTTCCTCTCTCTGTCTGGGTGCGACGAGCTCTAACGGGTTCCACGATGAGATGTGGGGGAAAGTGCACTCGTTATTGTTAGTTTTTTGTTTCGTTTTGTTTTGTTTTTCCTTTCCCTATGGAGTACGAGCTCACTTGTTTTCTTGGTGATGCATTGATGTTGTTTTTTCCCGGACAGGAAATGCTGGCTACCATTTTTGCACGACCAGATCTTATCATTACAAGGAACATTGAGTGGGGGAATATTGTTTTCGGATTTGAACAGGTCTGTTCGCACTCTCTTTCCTCTTCCAGTCTACGGTAGTTAATCCCCGCGTTCTTGTTCTCTCTCCACCTCCCTCCCCCCCCCCCCCCCCCTCTCTATCCCTCCTACCCCTCCACTGGTTGGAGCACCATACCTTGTTAAGTCTACCTCATCGAAACCGGAGCTCGTTCTCTCTTCTTTTCCTCTCTCCCCCCCCCCCCCCCCCCCCCCTCCTCCTCATGTTATAGTCTTGATTGTACCCTATGTTCCCATTCTAAGGGAATACTCATGCATGGACTTCCCTGGGCGCATCTGACCTTAAATTCTCTCTATATTCAGAGGAGAAACTACTAGTAGCGTTACTCCCACAGCTCGTCTAAGCCAAACCCAGGCAAATAAAAGAGTTTCTCCATGGCTTTGTCAAGACTCTTGTCATTTGTTCCGTTGGTCGTCATGCATCTGGTCTTATATTGTGTCTTTGTGCACACAAAGACTCAGGCGAAATATGCTTTACACAACGACTCAGGCTAAGTGTGCTTTACCCAAACCCTCAGGTGAAGTATGTGTCCTGTAAGGCCTTAATGACCCTGCGTAGTACGTAGTACATGCTTAGCCTACATAGTACATACTTAGCCTGCGTCTCTGTGTCAAGCATACTTGGCCGAGTCTTTGGGTACTAGCGAAGTATGTGTGCTGTGTTACGCCTTACTGACCCTTACGGCATACATAGTACATAGTACATGGCACATTTTACATAGGCCTTACTGCCCCTGTATAGTATAGGACATAGTACATGCTTAGCCCTTACAGCATACATAGTACATGGTACATGGTACATAGGCCTTACTGGCCCTGTATAGTATAGGACATA